TGTAATCAATAGAATTCGAATTTTTTTTTTTTTTGAATATAATAATATAATAAATTAACAACTTTAGATAACTTTAAATTACTGTAACTACTTAATCGACTCTTAATCATACGCGTATATGTCTTGCCCTATATATGTATTTCTTTATTCATGTTGCCATCCTGTGTATTGCCATAAGATTGTGTAATCAGAATGCCAAATCGCTCGACACAGCTCATCATGCAATTTCACAAAAATAAATTTAATTGTTGTTTTTGCAGCTAAATATAATGCAATCAGATTGCTACGTTTCAGTTTCAATGGCTGTAACTATTTTTGCGCTCGCTTTTAGCGAAATGCTTTAACACGCCTGTCAACAGTACTCAGGGCTATAATTTAGCAAACTTATATATAGATAGCTGGCAAATGACAGCTGTGACAATCGTTGATTACTTTTGGAGTGCATGACCTTGTGTGTATCAGATTTCAATTGGCTTTTAACAAACTTTTTATACTTTAACCCTATGTTTACTTTGCAGACTGAATTCATTCATAAGTTGATTGAAACTTTTTTCTCTTTTTGAGCCAATGGGGTGTAAAGGAATTGTTGAGAATATAATAAGAAATGTAAGAAAGTTTTTACTCTCATTTATTATATAAGTTCTTACTCAGCAATATAATAGAACAGTGGCGAATATGTGTATTATATATCCAATTTAAAAGAGAATGTGAATAAATTTATAAACATTTTAAAAATGTATTATAGGAATAGTGGATTGATAGAGTCTACATATTAAATAAATGGCAGTATAGTAGAGAATTATATACAATACAATCAAGTATATTCCTTGCTATATCTCCATTAGTCCATTCTAAAAAATTTATTCACATTCTCATTTGACTTTTCTTTTATCATCTATATATTATATTATAGCGTATGTATATCCATCATATAAATATAATCTTTGCTCATATATTTATAATATATATATCCATATACATAGTTATATATTCCCTTCCATTATCTTTTAGTCCATTCAGTATTTGCATTAAAATTTGATAAGAGGAAATTGATATACTGTGTTCTCTTATTTTTTTTGCTTTTCTTTTCTTTGCTTTTTTTTTTTTTTGGCTTGTTTTCATGTAGCTTGTCTGCTTGTCATGTCGTTCTATTTTATCTTAAGGTCAACCGTTGGCTGAGACCAATTTCATTTTATCCTTAAATAGTTCTGATTTGATTGCCAGTTTTCTATTTTAGTGTTGATTTGGAAGCTTTTAAGCTTTAGTTCAACTGACGTTTGTGGCAACAAATAAATAAATAATTAGATTCTATTTCTTATATACGTATTTGTTTTTGTCTCCTTTTTTCGTGTATCTTCATCTCTATCTCTGTCCCTCTCTCTCTGTCTAACTCTTCACTTCTCTCTTTTACTCTCGTTTAGCAAGGTCATTTTGTTTGACGTTTCGTTTTATAGCTTTAACCTCCCTCCACCCACAGGCACACACACATACACACGCACATGCACACACAAACACATACCGCAATCGTCTTGTTATAAACTTCAGCAAGCGATTGCTTATGAAAAATAAAGAAAGGAAAAAAAAAGAAAATGTTTTTCCACAGCCTCATGAGGCGGCGGCTGTCGAATCAGTTGCGTAGCGACACGCTCATTGCGCGCTCGTGTGCGTCTGTGTGTGTGTGTGTGTGTGCGAGGTAGATACAGATAGGCACATAAACAGACACACATACAGACACATATACAGAGAGACCCTTCCAAAAGGCACGCACGTGTAGCAGGCAATACAGTAAAAGCCCAATAATTGAAACATTTAATGATGCCAATTGGCCTTAAGTTCCATTGCACATAAATAATTAAATATACTTCAAAATTCAACTCTACTTATATTGAAATTGTGCCGAACTAAAACTGAGCTAAATTAAGCTTTTTCAAATATTAAAAACATTTAGGTAAAAGTAAAATATATTGAAATTTCAATATTTTTAAGATAACTACAAAGAAACCAAGGGGTTTGCCCAATAGACCTTTCTAGAAAAATGTCCATATTATGAATACCATACCATTTATATACAGTAATAATAATTTTATAAAATATGTAAATAAAATAAATCGCAAGTAAYTTGTCAACAAGTATTTATATTTACTAAGTCTTACTATATTAATAGACTAATATTTAGTATAATTCGTAAACCAACAATATGTTTATATACTTATGTCTATATAGATATTTATATTTCATAAAACTGTCACACCTATGGCTATTTACTGTACAGGTGACATTGCTCTTTTTGGCATATAAAATAACTAATTACGAAATTGCCAACATAATTTCAATGAAAATTGCAATTTCATTTAATGTGCATTAAAATCTGACATGTGCATGTGCTTTACTGTACAGGTGACATTGCGTGCCTGCGCTTGGCTGAGTGACATAGTGCTCCAAGGTAGATGACATTATTCTGCAATGGCCGCCCTCCAATCTGTGGGCAATATGATTTCTTCTCCGAGCATGCGAAGCGCGCGCCCCCAAATGTAGGCAATAATTTTTTAATGCGCGCACCGCACACAGCATGCCACGCGTGTGCCCTGATAGGTAGGCAACATTATTTTGCGCGGCGATTATCGGCAAAACTGCGCTGGCTGACTGAGTGAGGCGTTAATCAGCAAAAGCGGTAGACGCATTGCTTTGACACCTTTATAAGTGAGTTGTTGTTGTTGTTGTTGTTGTTGTTGCTGCTGTTGTGCCTGGTTGCTGGTGGGCAACTTCCGCTGACCTAGATTCACCACACACACACACACACACACACACACACACACACACACACACACACACACACACACTCGCACACACGCTGAATAATTACGCGAGCATTGCGATTGTGACTGAGACCGCGTTTTTGCCACTTAAACACTTGAGTGCACGAAGCACACGACTGTTGTCCGTCCCCGCTTTAGCTGCCACACCTGCTTACACACCTGATCCCCTTGCACACACACACACAGACGCTCTCGGTCTCTCCCTCTCTCTCTCTCACTCTTTTGCATGCCCTAAAACGTCTCGCTTCACATCAGTTCACACTTAACTTGATTCAATTTCACTTACTTTTGCGTATGCCGTTCAAAAATGTGATGCGATTTTCTGGCTGTTGTTGTTGCTATTGTTGTCGTTGTTGTTGCTGTTGATAGTATTGTGTTGCTGCTGCCTCTGCTGCTGCTGCTGCTGCTGTTGCTGTTGATGGCTTGGCCCGGCTCTTCAATTGTTTCATAAGACACACAAGAACTCTGCTTTTCTGCTCTTCTTTTCTATTCGTTTTGTTTTTTTTATTTTTTTTTTGTTGCTTTGTCGGCTAGGCCAAAACTCAATGTTTGTTGTTGTTGGTGTTGCGGCGGCTTTGTTGATGTTGTTGTATTGTTTGATGACTGCGCATTACAATCGATAATCCCATGCACAAATGCAGCTCAGTGCAACGGCATTGGCGTAAATCCATTTTAATGAAATGCCGTAAGCCTCACAGATTATCCATTTAAATGATGTTTATTAGTTGATGCTGTTCTACAATTTGTTGTAATGTCTCTATCAGTTGCTGTTGTTGTTGTCGTTCTTGCTGCGCTTGTTGTTGTTTACGGTTGTTGTTGTTGTTGTTATAGCTGCTGCACTGTCAGCAAACAACAACAACACGAGCATCGACAGCCGTCGGGGCGTGGAGCTTTATGCCAAAAAGGAAAAAAAAATAAAAGAAAAAAAAAAAACAACGCAGCATAAAAAGCTTCAAATTGAATTTTAAATTTCTCGCAGCTAAATTTGTTGGCCTTTCCTTTTTTTAGTATTTTCTTTTTAATTTTTATGTATTTTTAGAAATTTAATTTAAACTTGGTTTGCTTTGAATTTGATTTAAAAGCAAAATTTGCATGTACATTTTTTCCTTTGTATTATTTTTGCGCTTCTGCACGTGCTTAGCATAAATTTGGTATATATATTTATTTTATATATTTCATTTATTTCTGCCTTTAACAATTTACACACACACACACACTCATGCACACACACGTCGCATTGGCTTGGCTTGATATTGTGCTTGTGTTTGTTTTATACACAATTTTTGTAAAAAACTTTTTCGCATCGTATTTGAGGGCGAGGCGCACGTCGTTTTATCCGCTGCGTTCCACATGTATCCGACGACTGGAACTCCATGACTGACATTCCATACACAGCCGACATTTGGCCTGAGCCACGCGCAAAACAGACAGCGGCCAGCAGAGCAGCAGAAGCAGAGGCAGCAGCAGCAGCAGCAGCTGAAGCTTTGCCAAAGCTTTCTGGAAGGCGTCGCTGCTTTTGTTTGCTGTTTGCTGCCATATTCCAGCTAGGCAAGTGCGCGAGTGTTGGTAAAGTTTGATTTTTAGTGGGCGCGAAGTTGATAACTGTCAATTCGGCCTCCTTCTGTATGTGTGTGTGTGTGTGCCGTAATTATGACTGCGAAGGTCCACTTGGCCAGCGGGCATTGGGTTGCTTTTGTGGCTGTGTGACCGGCATTTTGGTTGATTTTTTTTTTTTTTTTTTTGATTTTTGTTTTTTTGTGCTCCTGTTGTTGTTGCAAGTTGTCAAATGGCCGCTAAAATTGAAGAACATAGAGGCTTTATGGCCAAGGACGATTGGCTTTAACTTATGGCCAATGTCAGGCGGCGTTTGTTTTGAAAGCGAAAGCCATTATTATTGGCCTGGCCGGGGCTGTTTAGGGCTGGCTGTGCCTGTGTTCTGGCATTGCATGCCAAAGTTTTGGGGTCGTAATACAGTCAAACATGCAAACACGCACAGGCAACAACGTTGCCGCTGCCAGGCACGCGGGCGGCCATACACACACACACACACACACACACACACACACACACACACACACACACACACACACACACACACACACACACACACACACACACACACACACACACACACGCAAACAAACACACACTTATTCACGTGTACCCCGTGCACGGACATGGACAAGGTAAGGTCCTTGTCATTTAACTCATTTGCCAAGTTGACCTTTTGCCGTGTGTGTGCACTTCACAACGACGAAACAAGCAAGCCAGCTAACAACAACGACAACAACATCAACTTTATGGCTAATACCCAAATGCCACGCCTTGAGCGCAAAAAAGTAACAACAACGACAACAACAACAAAAACAACTACATGAAAATTAAGTACGCAAAGAAATTGTACCCCGGCACGTGCATGCCTGATGAGCTTATCAAGGCTCAAACTTATTGAATTTTAAATCGATACATTTCCGGTGTAGCCAATTAGTTTTGCTAATTGCTCTGAATTAAGCATGAGCTGAGCAATGTAATTACATTTCATGTACAGACACATACACATGCACACCCACACACACACACACACGCACACGTAACGAGATGCCGCCAGAGCAGGACAATGACAACGAGCCGAACTCTTAGGCTTATGACTTTCACAATTTGCACAAAGCGAATCCAGCCCGAATGCTCCAATCAATGCAATCGTTGCGCATATCTAATGCGAGCATATTTCATATGCATTATTTAGCTTATGGCCGTGCGTGTCGTGTGCAATTCAGCTGAGATATTCATATCAAAGTGTATTGCTGCTATTTTATGCAGGAACAAGGTGTGCCGAGGCAAGAGCATCAGTAGAATATTAAGCCCATGTCATATGTCGCACAAGGAATAGAACAGCTCTCAATGTATTTCTTTGGTAACAAATTACGTTCCATATAGACAAATTTTGATAATTGTCCAAAAAGTTCTTTGACTATTTGATTGGAATGAAATATTAATACGTAAATGTGGCTTAGAATGAGAGAAGAGATGAATACTTGCTGTACGGCTGTTCAGCTTTCATACTCGTTCACAAAGCGAAATAAATTTATTGGATTTGTGATTCGCTTCATTTTGCTCTCCGTCCGTCTGTGCGTTTTGGCTTAAAGCATTTTGTCGTTATCGAAAACAGAGACTTCATATTCAAAACATATACTTGTTCGTGTTTTCACTTACATGTAGAGTGGGCGTATACACACAATGGGCGTGGCTAATTGGGAAAGGCTGCAACTGTTGAAACAGTAGAATACAGTAAAATATATACTTGTAGAGGGTAGCTTCGCCTAAAAATAAATAGTTAAATATATACATGTATACACTCAACACAACTAGATAAACCCATGCCCATTGGGGGCGTGGCAAGTTGGAGAAAACAATTTCATGCATAGTTCTGGAGCAAGAGCTACTTAATTTTACAATTAAGTTTAAATTGACCAAGTTTTCCACATTCAATTCTGAAACTTTGGCAGTTATGGATTTTTTCTCATTCCCACGCTGCGTCCGATGAGACTAGATATATATTTATAGATATGGATATTTTTGTGGGTGGTTTGACTACCCGAGTATATGTTTCAAATTCCAAGCCTCCAGCTCTATTAGGAAACAATAATACGGACAGGGAAAGATGGACATTGCCCAAAATAAATAGACTCCTTTGACTTTGTGAAGTAATATAAAAATAGATTTAAGCAATAATATTATATATGTTAATAATTGTGTTATTATATCAAGTTACTGTGAAATTCAATATTTTTATATTTATTTTTTTAGGAAATTGTTTTGGTAGTCAAAAACATTTAAATATATAACAAATAAAATTAGAAACAAAAGTTGAACAGTTGATTGATTTTTGTTCGTTTTTATTGTAAATAATATTAAAATTTTGTTCGTTTTTTAAAGTTCATATTAATTTATATTAATATTAATGAAGTATTAAAAAATTTAACATTTAGGTAACAATATGAAAAAAAAAAATCCTTCATAATTTTAAAAATATATATGAATAAAAAATATATATATTTGCTTAAAATTAAATTAATAGCTATGTTTATTATTGTGTATATAACATTTTCAAATTGAATTTTTATTATTGTTTTTCTTCACAAAGAAAATAAAAACTTTTAGCATTTCTGCAATGGAAACTAATTTGAAGGCATCCAAAGTAGAATTTGGAATGAAAGTTAATCTAACTATGATAGATAAAAGCATTTGGTTTGACTTAAGACATCATAAGCCACTCAGATAAGTGATTGTTTTCTTAAAACTTTGTGAAAGTTTTGTTGTTGCCGTTAGTCGGTCTTCGGTTTCTTCTTATTCGTTGTCGTCTTTTGTGAATGTCTCCTTTTATTATTCATATCAATCATGAATGGAATGAATCATTCTTTCATTGGTGGTAAAGTTCAAGTTTGCTTTTTTGGACAGGAACCACAAAAGATTAACATGCGCTCAGCCCGGATCGGCTCATACTTTTCGTCTTTCTTTGTGTGCATACGCACACACACACACACACACATGGACAGAGGTACACACACAGCTATGACACACATTCGCATCTTTTTAAATTGTTGCACGCCTCATCGTAAGCAGCGAGCCCCTTGAGCCTTACCCAGGGGGCAATCCTTGTGAAAGTTTAGCATAGCGCCACAAGAGGCGACAGGGGCGTCCAAGAAGCGGCACAGAGGGGGGCTAGTAGAGAGGGGGCCGTGTAATGGGAGGATGGGTTGTTGCTTACAACAAAGGCAAATGCCTGGCATGCGTTTTTCACATTGTTCCATGCGGTTGAATAAACACAAGCCGTTACACACACACACACACACACACACTTGTGCACATATACACTTATGCATTTTATGAGCTGCACACACACACACACATCGCTATACAGACACTTATTCGCTCGCTTGCCTCGACAGGCTTACAAAATAAACATTGCGGTATGTATTTTGTTTGTACACACTGCGTATACGTAATGTAAGGCCACTCATTTTGCCTACCCACCTGGCTGACTGTCAGTGGCCAACGACACACAAAAGATACCCACACACACATACAGAATACATCACGAATACACACTGCAGCAGAGCTCAGCAGCCCGGCAAACCATTGTGTGGCAAATGATTTAACCCATATCTCAGTCCCAGTGTCAGCCATAGATTCAACGTATTTTATGTTGCTTCCAAGAAAAAAATAATATGTAAATTCATTTGTGAAGAACTACCTTAAAAATAACATAATTTTTATAAAGAAATCAAATATAAATAAACAAGTTTTTACCTATTAATCAGACTTCAATTTGAGTGGGAATTTTCCGGCATGATTTCGTCCTAAAGTGTATATTGAATCCAATGTACAAGAATTTTCTGGACGTTGCTTTTATTTCTAGCGAAAAATAGAGCATTCTAGCTAGTTCGAATATAGAACATATGCACGAGGTTGGATTTAGTAATTTTGCAGACTAAAATATAAAAAAAAAAAAATGTGTGGTACTGAAATAAAATAAAATAAAACGATTTTATTATAATATATATTTAATTAAAAAATATGAATCCAAAAGTAAATTTAAAATGGAAAACAAATTTATTTTGTTTATTTTTAATTATTTTTTTTTAATATTGCGGAATCGGTTTTTAATGTATTAATGTAAATACTCTTCTAAATATAAAGATTAAAAAGCTTTATTTTTACTTGTTTTTTATTTTGTTTACATTAAAAAACATTTTTAAAATACTTTGACGAGGCTTACTTTTATAAATTTTTTATTTGAATTTTACTCTTGATAATTCGTCTTCCATAGCATAAATTTATTATTCCGTTCTTAAGAACAAATCATCTTTATAAATACAACCATTTATTTAAAATTTTAATTTATGAATCCCTAATTCTAAAATTTTTAAATCGACTTTATATATTGATTAAAATCTAAATTTCAATTGTTTATGAATTAATATATACATTTATGAATTAATATTTACAACTTATTTTACACTGCATTTATAAAATCTTCAATGTTGATCTATCTATGTATATATTTAAATGTATATTTACATATATTTTGTTTATTTTAATATCCAAACAAATTTTAAATTATATTTACAAAACTTCCCACAAGGTCAACTCTTAATTGAGTCCCTTTAGAGTCAACTCAACTCAAATTAAACTTCTTCATTTTTTCGTTTACATATTTAACGAAATGCTAGAAAGTTTCATTATCAACTATTTGACAGTAAATGAAATCAAGTAAACACATGCTCAAATGCAAGTCCTGGGCATTTTGATGGGTTAAAAGTGAACTAATTTGCATAGACCGCATGGAACAATGCGCAGGCGGCTGCATGAGGAGGTAACAAAAAGATTCATTAGGGCCAATCAGTGCAAAGCGCGTCAGGCCGAGGGGTAGCAGGTGCTAAAGGGTAAGAGCAAAGCGAAGGGGACGGCCCGAGAGGGAAGGCAATATTGTGCCACGAGTCGACCGAGTCCTCTCTACGTGTGTGTGTGTGTGTGTGTGTATGTGTATGTAAACAGTTTTGTTGTTTGCCTTCTAAATACGCACGTTCTACTTTAAACAAAGCGAAGCGGACACACACACACACATGCATGCTGCTCTGTTGTAAACAACATGCATGTAGGTATGTATGCATCTGTATATGTGCGTATATGTGTCTGTATATGTGCGTATGTGTGTGTGGCTGCATGTGTGTGCAAAACAAATTTAAACTTTACGCCCAAAGTTTATTTTTATGAGCAAAACTTTAAATAATGAAATTATCTGACAAGAACTTGAAGATGGGCAAAGCATTACACAAAGAGAGATGAGAGAGAGACTTAGACGAGAGAGGCAAAGAGAGTGAGAGAGAAAGATGCAGAGCTGTAGAGGGAGAGTTGCAAAAAAAATGAACAGAACAAGAGCATAAGCAGTGCGTGTGTGTGTGTGAGTGTGCTTGAGATCTAAGTCTCTCTCATACACACACACACACACACATAAACAGATAAGAGAAAGCGCTTATCCGCTTCTGTTGCCTTCATCAGCCAATCAATGGACGTAATTTATGCCGTTATTTTGCCCAAACTTCGTTTCGTACCTTCTCGTTTGTGTTATCAAATATTTATTTACACTTGAGCTATAATAATTCATTGATGCATTGAATGCCAGGCACAGGCTCGCACCCATACACACGCACACACGCACATGCACACACACGCACACACGCTGGGTAATCGGTCTCGGGCACGACCCGGCAACGTAAACGTCAGGACTAACCTTTGCCCGTTGTCCTTCAATGGCGCCGTCGCTGTGAAAGCAACAGCTGTGCGCGTTCTCTTTACTCTCACTCTCTCGCGTGAAATTGCTCACTCTCTATCTCTCGCTCTCACAATACATATTTCCATAAAGCTTTTCGGCAATTGCCAAGTAGACTTCCAGTTTCGAATTCGCTGGTTGGACAAAGCTTCGTTATCAAAGCTTCTGACATATATAGAGAAGCTCTTGTGACGAGGGCCGCATAATGAGTTTGCTATAATTCATTTGGATATTATAAAGATATTAATGTGTTTTATTTGAGCATTCCTTTATTTGTGCCAAAAACTTACAATTGTGTAACTACAAAAAAAAGAAGTTTCATAAAATACATATCTCACATATATTAATGTAATCCTTATACTTCTACAATTCCGAACTTTTTTCCAAGTTTTAACTAGTCTCAGCTCCTTTTTTTTTTTAGTATTCTATTAATGTTTTTTATAGTATTTTGAAATAAAAGACCTGTTTGTATTCATATGTCTTTTGTATAGTCCGTTAAAATTTGTATATATTTCATATAGCTGTCATATATATTTAGATATATTGTATGAGAAAGTTTTTGGGCTCAAAACAACTTAACTAAAGTCAGCAATTTCCAAATTTATTTCACTTTTTACATATAAGATGAACTTCTAACTATAGAACACAATCAACTCTAATGTTTATTAATACATATTCAAAGAACATCAAAAGTGTAAGCTGTTTTAAATCTTTCAACTGAAATATTTGTAAATTAATGTTAAAAGCTTTTAAACTTAAAATATACCCTCTGTTCATGCTGAGTATGTGTCGTAATTATTTCAAAATAGAACCGAAAATCAAAGCTTCGACGAACATTGATGCTATTAGAGATATATAATGTCTTATGGGAGCATAATTCAGTCATCAAACTTGAACACGGGCTTGCCATTGGCATCCCAGCTGTTCTTGCACTTCTTGAACGCACAGACCAGATAAAGCGCTAAATGAGATAAAGAGAGACAGGGGGAAGATGAGATAAAATATAAAATATACACAATTAAATCTAGCGCTCACTTGTTGCTTCCCACTCGGCCTTGGAGAGTGTGCCCACGGATCGAGCTCGCTGAGTCCCTAATATGCGAAGCACATGCTCGAACTGATCTTTGGTGTCGCAGCGATACGGTTGAATCGATTCCAGGCCAGACATGCGCTGTAGCAGCTGTCGTCCCTGAGGCATGTTCTCCTTGAAGTATTCAGCGAAACTGCTGCGCCTAACCAGCTGCAAGCCGTGACGTCGAGCCAGCTTAACGAGCGTGGGGAAATGTACCAAGAACTCCGGGCAATCAACAACACCCTCCAGATGGAATCGATATTTGGCACCGAAGAGCGGCAATACTTTCGTATTGCACTCGAACTCAATACTGTAGACATCGTTGCCAAAGCCCCGAGCATCTGGTCCAGCTTCCCTTAATCTCTTCATAATCTCGTAGGCATCCGGAAAGGTGGCTATGAAATAACCACCTGGCTGCAGGCACTCGGCTGCATTGCGGATCATACAATCTGCCTGCTGCAGTGACTCGAAGCAGTAATGAAAGGCAAACTGGCATGAGACCAAATTCAGTTGCAGCGACGCATCCTTATACCGTTCCCTCAGCCGCACCATTGTCGAGTCGCAGGCAAAGAATTCGGCTGTGAATTTATGTGCGAATTTCGAAGCTTCTGCTCGGTGCAAGATGTCCTGATAGCGTTGCTGACATTGCTCCACAGACACCTCAGCGATGTCGGTGCATATTAGATGGGATATGGATGCCTTCTCCCATTTGAGCAGATCGCCGCCCTTGCCGCAGCACATGTCCAGCACACGCAGAGCATCGCCCACCCGTTTCTGCTGCTTGATTAGGTCCATATATTCGTTAATTAACTGACTCTTGATCCAGTTGTTAAAGTTGCGCATATACAAAATTTTCGACTTGTGTCGCTCCTTGCGTCCGGTCTCCTTTAGCTCATTGTAATGATGTGCCACAACGTGTGTGTTGGCTGCTCCAATTGCCTCACCATCGGCATCGGCGTCAGCCTCGACTTCGGCGCCTGGATCAGCCTCAACATCTGCATCATCATTCTCCGATCTGTTCTGTTTGGCAGTTGATTGCTCTGTTGTTGTCTTTATATTGTTGTCTTCGCTTTCGTCATCGTCTGACAGTTTGACTGGTGCGAGTCGTTCATCTGTCGTACTTTTTTCATAATTAATACTCATTATATGAACACGCTCAGAGCAAATAAATACAGCCGCCGCTTAATAGTGAAAAGTGCGACTGAGATACTTTTCAACAGCTGCTCGAATTTTGAGGCAGTCTATCGATAGTTATCGGTGGCTACAAACCGAAGTGTGGTGTTAAAGCGAAATGTGTATGGAACAAAACAAGAGGTTGTTGAATTTTTGTTGATGCGAATACAATGCTGCCAACTACAAGGAGCTATTATTTATTATTTAAACATAAGTTAGACAGGCCTCATTGTTATATTTGCAATATAATATACATTACGTACATAATATGTTAATGACCAATTTTAATTATGTAGTTATGACGTCACCAAACTTTCGATTCACTGTGTGTCACCTTTCACCTTTTAAATATCTTTGTTTAACATGCGGTAAAAACAAACATTGTTTTTAATGCATTTCCGTGCGCTTAACCGTATATTTACCAAGTTTTCGTTTACAAATAAATGCGCAACAGCGCTCCCCACACGCAGCATGGCCTGCAGCAGATACGAATATGTTAAGTCGTACGAACAGGATGATAAAATATTGCCAAATGTTTGGATTGTGATACGCATCGATGGCAAAAAGTTTCACAAATTCGCCAACGCGCACAAATTTGAAAAGCCCAACGATGAAAATGGTGAGAAATGTGCAAAAATAATTCAAAAATAATTAATTTATTGAAACTAATGTGGTACAGCTTTGAATGTGATGAATGCGGCTGGCATTGCTGTTATGGAGGAATTTCGAGATATTGTTCTCGGCTATGGCCAAAGCGATGAATATTCCTTTGTCTTTCGTAAGGACACGTCGGCATTTAAGAGGCGCGCTGCCAAGCTGCTTAGCTATGTGACGAGCATGTTCACCAGCAGCTACGTGTTGAGCTGGTCGCAATGGATGCAGCGCCCTCTGAGCTACGCCCCCTGCTTCGATGGCCGGATTGTGCTTTATCCCTCGGATGAGAATCTGCGCGATTATTTGAGCTGGCGACAAGCGGATGTCCATGTAAATAATCTATATAATACGGCATTTTGGAAGCTGGTATTGGAATCGGGTCTAACGAATCAACAGGCCGAGGAACGGCTGCGTGGCACATTCTCCTCCGACAAGAATGAATTGCTCTTCCAGGAGTTTGGTATCAACTACAACACGTTGCCTGCAATGTATCGGAAGGGCACGATTTTGCTGCGCAAGCGTGTGGTGATGGGCTCGCAAGACGAGCAGGAGAAGGGCAGGCAGGCCATAGTGCCCATACATGAGGATTTAATTGGCAATGAATTTTGGAAGCAGCATACTGAAATTCTAGGCAAATATGTGCCGGGCAAGTATGTGGTAAGCAGCTTAAATAGACACCTGGAGAGGCAGCTGGCCAAACAGCTGGAGAAACAGGCAACGATAGCGGAGATTTGACTTATGACAATAGTTTAATTACAGTTATTACAAATTACATTAAGCGCAAAGCAAATAAACTCGTTCGTTTAGTAGTCATCGTCGTCATCATCATCGTCATCCTCACTGGGCTTGCTCACAAAGCTACTGTTTCCGCCGCCGCCACCTCCTCCGCTGGCATCCTTATCCGATTGCGCAGGTCGCTGGATCAGTGCATTGCTCTGTTGTACGGCAGCCGCCTGCATGCTCATCCATTGTTGTTGCTCTTCGCGTGCCTGCTCTTCGCGCGCCTTGGCGAACAGCTCCTGTTGCTGGCGCAGCAGCTCCTCTTCGGGTATGCCCAGATTCTCTAGACGTGTGCTCTGTCTGCGTCGTTTCGCGGCCACCTCTTTGCAGTCGTGCAGCACAGCTTCGGCCTCTTGTTTGTAGTCGCGAAAGCCGAGGCGATCGAGTGCTTCGAGAACATGTTCGGCATTGATGGTTTTCTTGCTGCGCTGATTACACACCTCGTTTGCCTCTGAGCTGATCAGGTGGATGAATTCGGAGCAACAATTGAGAATCAGTTCGCGACTTTCGTTGGCGACGCGTACCGTAGGCACCAGTTCTTTGATTATTTTATTAATGCTCGCCCGTGGCAATGTTAGCTCATCGTCTTCGGCATTAGGCGGCAAAAGCTCCTCCTGTGGATTTGACATGGCGTGCACGTAAAAACGTAAACAAAACCGCGATGAACGAAAAATAAATAACAACGATGCTGCTGCTTCTTGCCGCTAGCATTCACAGTGCTGTAAAATAGATGACATATACGCGTATATCGATAGTGTGATATAGAAATATCGATAGCGAAACATCTGTCAAAAAATCAACATTTATTTATTGTAAAAATAAGACATCAGTATTTGGAAAGAACAAAATGGGCGATTATGATTCGGATGATGAGAAATCTCAAATGGAGAAACTGCGCTATGCCAAAGTGCCGCGCGGCATGTTTGTGAGCGGTTGGGATGATGATAACGATGACATCGAGGAGGACAAAAATCCACAAGGTAATCACATCTAGACAAAATATGGATTCAATATAACTTTATAAATACATTCAATGAGCAGCGAGCATTGAACGCATGATATTGTGGGCCGTGAGTGAGAATCGTCTTAGTGAAGTGCGCGAGATTCTTCAACTGGATGCGGACACAGTCAATGCCAAGGACAACGATGGCTACACTCCGCTGCATCGCGCTTGCTACAACAATTTCTTAGACATTGCAAGACTCTTGCTCCAGTATCAGGCTGACCCGAATGCACGCACCGAGCTCGGTTGGACTCCACTGCACTCGGCCTGCAAATGGAGTCATCCCGAAAGTGTGCAGCTCTTGTTGCAATTTGGTGCGGATGTGAATGCCGAATCAGATGGACAGCAAACGCCGTTGCATGTAACGGCCACCGTTTCAAATTGCAGAAATGCGGCAACTATTCTACTCATGGATCGCAATATTCAACCACGCAAGGAAAACAACACCGAGGAGACGGCCGCAGTTATAGCACGTCGCACTGGCATGAGCTATTTCGTCTTTGAGATTGCTAATGAAGCCTACGACTGCATCACCGGGCTAATTGAAAAAAATGTCATTCGTTTTTTTTTATTAAATATAATACTTAATGTTAGTTCATAAATTATTAGTTATTTGTTTAGCTGGCTGGAGCTGGAGTGCGCACGAAATGCTCATAGAATGATTTCGTATAGTTGACCATTTCATCCTGCATGGCAGCGGGCACAAAGTAAGGATTACCCTGGCCGCCCTCGATGGTGCCTTTGGCCGTGTAACGCATGTAGCTGGAGACTGTTGTCTCTGGAGGCAACACAGCTCCATCTTCGATCACACAGCAATCCTTAAGCGTACAGCGACGACCCTTTAATCAAAACAAATCTCATGAAAATTTGCTGAATATTAAACTGATTTCCTGACTCACAATGATTGCATTTTTGCCAATGTACACAAAGGAACCAACGTTAGCCGCTGATACGACAGCACCTTCGCCTATATAGACATGATCTCCAATGTGCATGGGAAAGAAGGCAATGCCTTTGCTGAATTGTTTGTAGGGCGGCCGAATCACAGAGTTTTTACTAATCACACAATAACGTCCAGTTCGCACATTGGCCAGATCGCCGCGTATGATGGCGCCACTCTGCACAATCACCTTGCCATTGAGCACAATATTCTGGGAGCCACAGAGTACTGTGTGGCGGCTCACCTTGTTTCCGGATGCCTGAGATGAGGTCATCCAAAGAAAGTTATTATTAATATGCAAGCATATATATTTGTTGTATTGCTACTCACCGTTTCCACATATTCATCTTTGCTGTAATATGTATCCGGTATTTCCATAACTTAAAATAATATGCGATATAGCTAAATGTTTTATTTTCAATTATTTTGTTTGCGTTTGCAGTCAATGCAGCTCAGCTGTTAACTATATCGATAGTTGGTCCCATCGATAGGCCAGCTGCTTTGTATCTGCAGCGTTGCCAACTATACTTCTGCTAACAGGCAAGATTTAAATTAAATAATTTATTTTTCAAATAATTTTATAAAAAAGGTGTATTTATATATTTTTTCTAAATAATTGTTATTGTTAAAATATTATTGTTTGATAAATATAAATTATTTAGTATAAATAAACATTAAACTTATGCAGTTGTAGCTAACAATTGTTGCTTCCAGACGCGTTGCCAACTATTGTTAGCATGCTGTTAATCATCTACAGACTGTTAAACACCTTTCAAAAAAGTTTGTTATTTACATGCATGGTTAAAATATTTATTTATTTTTTRTTTTACTTAATCAGCCATTTGCTAGTGCTTACTTGTATGCAATTAGCGAATGCGGGTGCCTGCCAATTGCAGGTGTTTAGCCCATGTTTAACCCTGAACTTTGCGTGCAGTTGGCAACAATTATGTTATTTACTGTTGTTGTTGTTGTTGTGGTGGTGGTGGTTAGATCGTCTGCTAATAATATGAAACAAAAAGTATGCACATCGATTTCTAGATAAATAATTGCAACTGACAGCTGGTGGAATTGACCTCAGGCATGGCAAAAGTTTTAGTTGTTCAACTTTGTTTTTGCTTCAATGATGTTCCAATTAAATTGGTCTGTGTTGCTATTTATAATCGGGTCCGCCCGGCCCCTCCATTGGCCTTCAGTTCGGACAGCACGCTTGAATGCCCAATACCCAAGACTCCATACCCAATGCCCAAGTGCCCTCCAGCTAGCTCGGCAGCTCGGCCACATTCGCTAATTGGCAAGCAGAGATTTTTAATGCCTGGTTCTGCATGCAGAGAACATTCACAGCCATATTTATGGTAATCCATTACGATATGGCCCACCTCTACAAATAATAATAATAGTAATAATAATGCGGCGTATTGTTTTGTGCATGTAAATGAATTGGCTTCGCCATTTCAGTATGGGGCTTTACTTTGAAAGCCATTAGACATTCAACGGTTGCTCAGCTGCTCTGCTGCTTGGCTCGACCTTACCAATAATTTATTTTGTATTTTATTTTTGGCTAGTTGACCATTTGAACTTTTTGGCTAATTTATTTACAGCACTGACAACAATGAATAGAGAGGCAATTATCAGTGA